TTATTACCCAAGGAGTTGGTCTGGGGACATCAGGACAATTGGGCTGGTTAGTTAAAACCCAGCATCCTACAGCCAAGGAATGGTAGAAATCTCTGGATCCACTAAGTTATACTCTTTTCTCCTGATATAATGAAGAAACCAAAACCCCAGAGGGAATGAGACTTCCATGTTTCCACCCTCAGAGGCAACCAAAGCCTGTGGCCCTGACACTGTTTCCCCGAATCCAGTGTTCTCAGGCATTCACAAGCAAGCATCCACTGTTTGCCGTCTGCCCTTGCTCAAGGTAAAGAACAGTAAGGCTACCTCAGTGAATACTGTGAGCTTATCTCTCCTCCTGGCACATTCTAGCAGCATGTCCACACTTGTTCTCCATTTTTTTTATTTGTAGCACACAAGAATGGCTCTTCAAAGGAAAGGAACTTTCAATGGGTCTCTTAAAACTCTTGTTTAACATGAGGTCAACAAGAAAGCTTAGCTGGTTGGGACATTCTCTTGATTAAAAAACAAGAAAACAGACTACATGACAGTGGTGTCATTAAAGAAATAACTGTGGTTAGTGCAGTTTGAGGTGCAGGTTCACTGGAATTGGGCTGAGCTGTGGTGTTAAAGGGCCCCAGGGTGGGTCACAGTTTACTTATATGTCCTTAAGAACTGAATTGTTTGTAGGAAAGAACTCATGGCGTACAATGTCAAGAAAGACAGATGGCAGTTTAAGAACAAAACAACAACGAAGGAAGGCCAGAGTTATATTAATATATGACTGAGAAAATGACCTAGAAAGAACTAAAAAAAAAAAAAATAGGGAAGTAAAACAGACAAAGAAGGGAAGAAAGCGAGATAGATGGTTAGTTATAGGGGTACAGGGCATCAGAGAAATGGCGACAGAGAGGCCTGGCATCTCCTGAATGTCCTTTTGTGCAGACAGGTATCAAAATTCATAGGCCAAGTCAGAAGTTTTGAAAAATGAGAACCAATAACTTTCCCTAGGAATATAGACCAGACTGAATTAAATAAGAACCGGCGAGCTAAAGGCACCTGCACCAAGCCTGACCACCTGAGTTTGGTCCCCCAGACTTACACGGCAGCATGAGAGCGCTGACTCCCAGAAGCTGTCCTCCGACCGCCGAGTGTGTGCTGTGGCAATGCTCAGACATCACATACATCACACGCACACACATACACACACATGTTAAAACAATTTCTATTTTTAGAAGACCGAGCTCCATCAATGCCCATAGCACAAGGAAAAAAAAATCTATGAAAAAATTTGTCTGTCAACAAACGAGCAGTGAAGGGCTCTAAGCACCACAGAGTACAGGCTGAGTCGGAAAAAAACAGAAGAGATGTCTGTACCCATGATGTGCTTTTCCAACATTTCTGTGGGCACCCAACCCCGGTCCCTTCACTGGACCATTTATCTGATTGTGTGGCCCCAGGCACAAACTGCAAAGTTTGCCCTTCACCCTACAGATACGGAACCCTTGCCAACTCCCAAGCTGTCTACACACTGCAGAGATTCCGAGATTATGATACCAGGCTGGGCAGTGGAGGAATGAGGAAGAAGCGTGTTTTTTGTTCACCGGGAGCAATCAGCTAGAACTCCCTATTAACTCGTCGGGCTACTTCAGCTTTGTCCCCATTCCACCAAGTCCAGTTGGGACCTGTTGGGACAGGAGGCCACCTTCCTGTTCAGATCAATGTGATTTCATCTTAATTCCAATCAAAGATTCTGAGTTTCATACTTTCTATTTGGGGCAGCAAGCCCACAGTACTCAAGAGTGTAAAGTGACAGGGAGAACCCACAGATCCAACCCAGCTGAGAGACATGAAAGCTGGAGGGCAGATAACCGTGGGTCTTGGAAGCTGTGGGGGAATGGGGCCCCTTAAAATCCTTTTGTATACACACATACAAAGACACACACAGACACACACACAAACAAAGACTGTACTCCACTAGGGTAGGGGAGTAGGAAATGGATAGTGATCCAATCCAACTAGAATTAGGAAGAAATACCATTCTTTTCTTTGGTTCTTTTTGACTCAGGATCTTGGTATGTAGCCCAGGCTGGCCTGGGACTGACTGGCTTTAAACCTGTGATCCACCTACGCCAGCCTCCTGAGTTCTGGGATTGTACACATGTGCCACTACCACTGGCACTTGTCACTTTCTACAGGTAAAAACTGTTTGGGGTCGGGGATGGGCGAGAGTAGGCTTAACTGGGTGCAGACCACAAAAAGGGGGAGTATGGAGCAGAGTGTGGCAGGGGAGGAAACAGAGGCACAGGGAAAGCCTGTAGGGATAAACAGGTAGGCAAGACTTCAGCGGTAGCGGCAGCGCTTATATTGAGTTGGGGAGACTATTTGGAGGGCTGGAAGTCACAGTGTGCCACACTCAGCAATGAAAAGCTGTTCGTCCTGCTAGAATCCGGGGCAGCTAGTGGGAAAAATTAGCCTGAATCCTGGATGATCCTGGGGTTCAAAGAGAGAAGACTCTGTTTTTTCAGGAGCAGACAAGCCACAAGAGGTCACATTTGCTTGCCAGGGTGGGGCGAGCAGCAGAAACCAGTAAAGCCAGAGGTGGAAGTAGAAGGATGAAAGTGAGCCACATTCTGATGCCCAAGTGACCACCATCCATGGCCACTTGATTGGTAGAGCAGTTGTGACAAGGCCTGCAAAACCAGAAATGTTTCCTGTCTGTCTTCCCATAGGACAAGCTCCCTGTCTTGCCTCTATGTCTGCAGCAGGCCTGAATCAGGCAAGGGGCATTCACTGCTGCCGCTCCTGCTGCTGTTGCTGGTTGCTGGATTGCTTATTGCTGGTTGGAGATAACCTGAAAATGAAGACTATGCTCACCCCAAGAAACTCAATGTCCCTAATCAGCAGGAAGTAGTTTAATAATATCAGCACCCCCTTTCCCCTCTAACCTTCTTTCTCTCCTACCTAGTGTTGGGGGACTGGAAGGGGAGGGGTGGTTTATGGAGATAGGGAAAAAAAAAACAGTAAAGTAGGCAAAGAGCCCAGCTACATAATACTTTCTGCTCCAATTTAAGGGTACTCCACAGATAAAAACCTGTGTCTGGTACTGAAAGCAGGCCGAGCGCCAATGGTTGAAGAGCTTGTAAAACCACAGGAATGAACTTAGTATTATTATTTTGCTGAATGGACATAGCAATGAAATTGTTTTCTAATTCTGTATCTCTTTGCCTATAGTTTAGTGTACTTCTCTCAGTTCATTAGAGAAACTCATTAGAGAAGTTTATGTAACAGCAGTAGTTAGTGTAGAAATTCACAAGTGGTCAAAAAGCAATAAGGGGTGCCGGGACACAAATGGGACATATACATCACAGTCCTCCCCAAAGCTCAGGGCTCATCAATCAAGAGGTGTCAGAAAGATTGTAAAAGCCAGAGGCTGGAGAGGATCATAGAAAAAAGGGTCTTTTAGAAATGACAGGCTCAAGACACTCATGGACTCTCAGCAGCTGTGACTGCTGGCACAGGATCAACCCAGTCACATTCTCGAAAGGAGTGCGAGTGGGTTTATGAATTCCTGCCCTTATCTGAGGAGCTAAGAATGGTTGATGGCTCCCAGTGGGGGGAGAGTCAGTTTTCTTTAGGCATCAATCCTGGTAGATGGATTCACCATGCTCTAGTGAATACCCCCATGCCCGGTAGTATATGAACAGCACAAGCTGGAGTCAATGGGGTATTGAATTAAAAGAAAAAGAAGAAACTAAACTGAGGGAGTAGGGAAGTGGGGGAAGATCTGGGAGGAATTAAAGGGAGGAACTGGGGGTAAATATAATTAAAATGCATTGTATACAATTATTAAAGAATTTATGAAAATATTTCTAAAGTAAACATGCAAACATAGTCAACAAAAATTCTTTCTGGAGGGCCAAAGCCATTTTATATTCATGAATGACTGAACATAAGGTATGGAGACTCCAAGGCCCCATAAACTATCAGGAAGCATTAGAAAGAACAAGCTGAACAGGATAATAAAAAGCTCAGAGTTATATCTTGATCCCAAAAATGTACAGTTGAGATGTTCCAATACCAGCCCTCTGAAGAGTCTGAGGGTTCTTTGGGAAGCTGCCCTCCCTCTCTGATACCCTGATCTCTGACGAACAGAGAAAAGAGACATTTCAAAGAGAGCTACCCACAGGTTGAACATTCACCAAAGCACATTTATTTCAGCACAATATAAAAATTGCAAGTGGATATTGCTCTTGTTAATCTATTTGTGGGCACATGAACAAACCCACATAGGCACATAAGTATATGGTGTATGATAAACTGTATGTGCAGGTATGATTTGCATATGTGCAGAGAGAGAGGAAGCTATCAGGTGTCTTGCTCTATTGCTCTCTGCCTTATTTCCCTGAGACAAAGTCTCTTACTAAACCTGGAACTAAGCTAGCAGCCAGCAAGCCCCTGGCTCCTCACGTTAACAATGAACTAGGGCTACAGGCATGTGAGTAGACACACCCACTTTTTTGTTGTTGTTGTTTGGTTGGGTTGGGTTTTACTTAAACAAAGGTGCTGCGGATTTGAACTCAGGTCCTCATGCTAATGTAGCAAATGCTCTCATCCACTGAGCCACCTCCCCAACCTCAGGTATAAATTCTTATTGGATGCTCATTAGTTCTTATGCAATGTGAATCATTTAAATAAAAAGTTATTTGTTATTATGATTGGCATGTATACTTTTCAGGTTCCTGAGTGCAGTAGCAAGTCAAAACTTCTACACACAATGCCATTTGTAAAATATATGCGCTAACCAAACCTAATTCTTCACAGAACTTGTCAGCTAGGTTCTCCCACACTTGCCACACTGGTGATGATGGGTACTTGCTCAGTCCTGCCCTAGGAGGACATCAATGAAGGAAGATACCCTCCTAGACCATGTGAAGTGGACCAGTCGACTTTGGTACGTTTCCCACGGCTCCTAAAGCATCCACACATACAGCGTGCCATTGGCAGGCCCTTCACCCAGTCACCTTTTCGGAACGTCTCCCCCTTGCTCTCTGCTTCTCTGTTGATACGATTCTGTTCTGGTTCAACCGAGGGCCCCTGGTCTTCAAGTTCGTCTTCAGTTTCATCATCACTGTAGGGAACCACTTCATCGTTGGGCTGAAAGTCCTCATCAAACGTTGTTTCTGAGTCTCTTTCTGTGTTCATTCTGCTGGCAAATTGGAACTACCTGGAGAAAAGAAAGGAGGAGACAAGAGTGAATTGTGACTTTCCTGTGGTGGGCTGTGTTTTGCTGCATCCTGTCATAACACCCCTTTTACAGAACACCATCCCACCGACAATGCAAATTTTCACGACTAATGATCTAAAAGTTAACTTGATATGCAAAAGAACAAAAACAGTATTAGTTATGTGTTTGATAAGAATTGAGGGGAAAAGGAGGCAATGAAGATGGGTTTGTTTATAAGCACTTGCTGCATAAGAGCATGAGGACCTGAGGAAGATACCCACTGTCACCTCTGGTCCCCTCACATGTACCTGCATACACACATGCACCTACATATAAGATAATGCCCACATACAATATACACAAAGAAAACATGTAACTATACAACTCGATCTCTCTCGATCTTCTTCTTTCTTTCTGGAAGGTCACACAAACCTTAAAAGGAATATTTTGAATTGTACATCTCTATCCAGTGTAATAAATTTAGTGTGGTCACCCCCCATGTTAAAAATGAAACAGGCAAACCAGTATTAAAGTATGATTCAAGTAGTAAGAATAAGCATTTTCTGGTTGAAAGAAAAGGCTGTACTGTACCAAGAAGCACACATCTATTTTCATGGAACTTTATTTATTTACATTTATTTAATATTCATGGAATTTTATTTCCTACTTTAGACTCTTGGCAGAGCTGGAACACTGCTGCCTTAGGAGAACTGTCCTGTGGATGCTAATACTTTGAGCCTTTAGTCAGTTTGCCTCAAGGAACAAACAGTCCTTTGAGCTCCTCTTTTCCTATCACCCTCCATTCTTCTTACCTAGAGTTTGTTTGTGAGTGTGCTGTTGCATGAAGTAACTCTACACTGGAAACAAGGATACCCTGAGCTATATTTATATTGGGAAAATATTTACACAAATTCCTTGGGTTGCTTGAGGACAGTCATCCAGCCTGACCTTATTTACCCAAGTGTCACTCTGCCATGTACTTAGTACTGTGGGCAGTCACACACACTTTTTACTGTTGGCGCACGGCAGCCCCTGGGCTAAGGGTTTCATAAAGACTGCTCCTTTGAAAGTTTCATATCACCCCGACGAAGGTGTTATTACTTGTTTCCTACAAAGAGGGAAACCAAAACTCTGAAACATTAAAAGCCATGTGGCAAAAACAAACACTTTCCAGGAACTGTCTCTTATACTCTAGCTTAGTTTAAGTGTAAATTGCTTGCAGAGGAACTATTTACATGTGTGCATGTTTCCCATCCAGCACCTCAGACATCTACAGTAGTATTCATACCAAGGAGTATAAAACATTTTCAAGTTTTATATGGGGATTTTTGTCTAGTGTGGCTTAAAAGACCAAAAGCCAGAAGCAGGCCAGGCATCTAAAGAGTGTCAATTATACAAATAAATCAGTGCTCATTCTGTGGAATAGGGTACATCATTTAGAACGTGACTGGGAGAGAAAGCGCATTGTGGGGAGAAAGGTGAGCTATGGCTATCTGTGCAGAATCGTCTCCATTATTTATAAAAATGTCAACACCGGGAATGCGTTATTTTAAGTGTAAAGATTGGGGCTGGGGAGAGGGCTCAGTGTTAAGAGCACTTGCTTCCCGTCCAGAGAATACAAGTTTGGTTCCTGAAACCTACATTGGGTGACTCACGATTGCCTATTACGCTAGCTCCAGGGAGTTGGAGGCCATAGGGAATCCTCAAGCATGTGTTCATACACCCGTATATAGATAAAAACGAATCTTTAAGTGAATGATGCATTCAAAGTACTCAAATTGGTGGATCACCTGTAGTAACAACTCAGTAAACATTAGCCGGCACTGCTGCTAGCCATCGTTTTCATGATTAGATAAGTGTTTACAACAGCAAGTAGAAGGGCCCATCTAGACTTTAAGCTTTTCCAGTTCCAAAATTATCTCTTAAAAGGTAGCTATCATTAGAAAGTAAAACTTTTGACTACCATTCCCTTAAAAATGGAGTCTGCTTGGTACAGTTAAGCACAGGCATGACCCTTTCCTCTCTGGGTCCACCCAGTCAACATACTTTGTTCCTTCTTTGGTAAACATGTCAATGGCCAGGGGGCACACAAGCTTTTTTTTTT